TAGTGAAATTAGTTCGTACAGTTTAACCCGCTGACCCTTCCGTTTCTCGTATCCCAATTTCAGCGAACTACTTGCTGAACGTATTCCAGCCCATACAATAATATGATTCGGGCTCTAGGAATATTATATTTATAATGTATTATTTTATTCACATCAAAGTAAAGCTTAGCCTAGTAAAACCATACCAGAAACTGAGTAGCTCTTTAAAGAGAAACAACATTTAAAGTTATTGCTTCACCAGTTGTTATATTTTTTTTATATTTCAATATTTAAGAAATGTTCTAAAATTTTTAATGTTCCTTCTTCTGTTTCAATATACAAATTTCCATTTATGTCCCCTTTATAACATATCAACCTCTTTTAAGATTTATGTCGTAAATCATATAGAGGTTACATATTTATAAGGAATTTATAAGAGAGGTTACATATTTATAAATAAGAGTACATAGCTGTTTCCTGTAAAACATTTACGCGGTTTCGATATTTAAACAAACTTATGCTACTTTTGGTGTGTGAAATATTGTTGCTTATATGTGAAACTTAAGAAAACGACGAATCAAAATTTAAATTAGAATAAATAATCTTTTTATCCATTTTTTTAATCCGCAATGTACGGGGAAATTGCTTTAAAGCACAGACATTACTATCTTGGCACGTTAATCGCATGATGGGATCAAAAAGAACTTACGCCCGATACCCTTTCGTTAGGAGTTGGTTGACGGCTAATTTGCATTTTCCTTTTGTGTCTGCGCTTCGCAGTTCGCCTCGGAGCATCTTTTGTACGAATTTGGGAATTTTATCTACCGGTTTCCGTCGTGTCGGAAATTTGATAATTGTTTTGTTGTTAGATAAACCGTTTTTCTTAAAATCTAATATAAGATGAATAATTAATTTTGTTTTCAATTTTACAGTCTATTGAGATAGATAATAATATATTATGAAGATTATTTTTTATTTATATTAGCTAACCTGACAGATATCCGGGCAACCAAAATTAACGTTTACATAATTTAACTTTCCCTAAAATCTAGATTATGTACTATTAATATTATATTTATTATACATCACAACAAGTCTCAAGTGAATGACAATGATTTTTAAAAATATTATTATAAGGATATTAAAAATTTAATATTTTTTCATAGTAAATAATTTATTCAATAAACAATCTGTAATAAACGTCCTCAAACTAAGATTTCGTCCTGTGTTAAGGGTATTGCAATGATGAAAGGGACAACATGAAGTACACTTAGAGCCCGGCACTAAAAGTTTACAACAAATAAATTGACTCTGGTCATAGATCTAATCCCGGGACCTGGGCGGGCCCCCGATGCGCACTCTGCGTGTCGTGGGTTCCGTCTGTGGGGGAGTTTTGCTGGACTTCGACCGAACGCGTCCGTAGGTGGCGGATAACGGGCCTCTGGGAGCAGTCACACTCCTTCTCTCTCGTCGTATTACGGCGGGAGAGATTGAGCGACGCGGACCAAAACCAGCAGGGCGGGTTCTGGGCTCTCCGCGCCCTTCACCTAGTTGAATGGTGTTTCATCCGGGGATGCCCGGGCCCCCGACTTCTTCCTTATTATTTTGAGTTTGTTTTTACTGTCTTTTTGTTTTCTTTATATTTTTTATTTAGTTTATGTTGAGTTTGTCTGTCCTTTTCTTCGTTATTATTTTGTTCTTTGTGTTTTGTTTGTTTACTATCTTCACTCTTGTACTGTTCGTTACATTTCTATGTTTTGATTTTGTTATGTTTTCCACTTCTTTCTTTCTTTATTCTCAAGTTCCAACCCCAAGTTTTGACGCCCAGCGACGGGACGATTGGCTGGTGGGAGACCAGTCGCGAGGGCGTCCCAGGGGACCTCACCATAGGTAAATAAAAAAAAATCATGAGCATGTCCAGCCTGATAAACTTATTACCCCAGGAGGGTACCTCTTGATCTGCGGGAGGAGAATCCCACCGTGCGGTCGAAAAATCGGCCGAAGCCAACGGCGAGACGACGACTCCGATGGACGTCCAGCCTCCGTCGGACACAAGGAAGACCAGGGTTTTATGAAGAACTGGGCATGCCGATGAACCGAGGAGGAAGTGGTGAGGAGGATGTCGTGGACCTCGGTTCGTAGGCAGTGAAGGCGGAGCGGGTGGTGCGGGCAGAAAGCCCCCGACTGGCTCCTGCAGGGGCCGTCGATTATTGTTGAAGAAAAAAAAAGGTCATAGATCTAATCAGGATCCCGAATTCCGGTAGTCATGGTTACCGAATACTAACTATAGTATAAAACAAAAATAAACAAATAATCAGGTACTTATTATGTACATATGTCACACGCTCATCTTGGCCCTATAGTATTCACGGTACCTACTATGGTAAGCTGAAATTCATTAACAAATATAGTATATTCCTAGGTTTTCGCGGGTCATAGATATAATTAAAACCTTTTTTACAGTTCAATATTGCGTTTTTTATTATTATTTTCGTAGACACGGGCGGCTATGGTAGAATAAACTGTAAAAGTAATGCTGTTACTACTTAAAAACTCATACTTATATTAAACTCAAGAAAAAGAGTAAACAAAACTGTTAGGGCAAAAATATTTAAAGGAATTGTAGTCATGACCTAGCAGTCAGGGGTGTGTACGACTACGTGATTGCGTTCATATAGTTAGGGTCTAAACTTATTTCTCTAAATAACAAATTCACGGACAAAACTCTGTTTATAATTTCATTATATTATTTTAACTTGATATAATAATATGTAACTTATAGATTATACCCTATTCCAATTACGAAGTCCTTTTTGACACTTCTTAGAACGTAACTCTTCACGTTTCGCATAATTTGAATAATAATTTTTTGTTCATGATCGTCAACATCATTTAAAAAATACACAAGCAATCTAAATCCAGTTAATTCATACATACAATAACATAATAATAACATCTGTCTCATGGGACTTCGTAATTGGAATAGAGTATAGTAATTAATATGAAATGATCCTGTTTTGTGCTAAGAATGTGAATTATGTATGGCCCATTGTCTGTGGAGCTATTATACCTACGTACGTAAATTAGCCTTAACCTGTCCACTACATGGGCTCATTAATTATCCACAATGAACAACATGGATTTCGGATTCGGTTGAAAATTCAAATCGCTGTTCAGTGGTTCCTAATGTAGACTTATTATTTTGTGTATAAAATCTTATAAGATTGCTTTGTTTTGAATACTTTCGTATTAAGATTATCAGACATTATTTCGGAGGAAAAAACATTGTATAATTTTATTACGAGCGTAAAATAAAATCATCTAAACTCCATTAATAGTTGCTTCAAATATGTAAATCTGTGTTAAAATTAAATGACACATAATTATTACAACTATTTTGTATAAAGAGGCTGATTTTTTGTTTTGTCAGCTTGACGGTACCTACATAGTGCACTTTGCTTTTTTTCTAGTCGCCTGCTTGCGAACTAGCTACTCGCCTCTTGCCTAATATTAAATTGTGAACTGTATTGAGCAATAGAATTAAAGAAATTAATTGAAACAGCAATGATAAATAAGAATGCGAGATATTTTATTTTATGTGGTTGTTTATTATTTCTTCCGGTTTATTATTATATATTATTTCTTCTTTCTCTGTCGAATCCGCGGCACTCGAAGTTGTGTCTGAATACACCATCTTGACCAAATTTTTCATCTAGGCAGGGCCAACTTCGAGAAGGAAGCTGATAAGCGCGTACAGTTGGGCTGGGCTGCGTATGGAAAGCTCCGTCATATCTTTAACTCAGCAAACCCGCAAAGCCTAAAGATGAAAGTCTTCAACGATTGCGTGCTACCGGTCATGACATAATATGGCGCTCAAACGTGGACATTGACCGTAGGTCTGATTCGTAAGTTCAAAGTCGCACAGCATGCTATGGAAAGGGATATGCTCGGAGTTTCTTTCATGGATCGAGTCAGAAATGAGGAAATCCGTCGAAGAACCAAAGTAACCGATATAGTCCTAAAGATTAGCAAAGCTGACGTGGCAATAGGCCGGATACACGTGTCGCAGACCCAACGACCGATACCCGATACCACATACCCGGAAGCGCAGTGCTGAATGTCCCGCTTCCCTGTGAACCGATGACTTATGGCGATATGCTGGAGAAGATTGAATGCGGAAGGTGGAGGACCGTTCATTATGGCAGACTATGGGGAGTCCTACATCCAGCAGTGGAGAGATACAGGCAGATGATTATGTAGGTTCTTAATCGTATTGTTTCTATAAAAGTCTAAGATGTGGTTTTCGAGCTCTTCCAAAAATTTATTATATTATTCCATCTCACTTACTTAATTTCACAAAAAAATCAATTTTATTCCTTAATTTCATTTTATACCTAAACTTTTTTACTGGCCAAGGAACATTGGTGTCGGCTTATTTTTTTAAATTATAATTATTAATAAATTATTGTTATGAGTATTAATTTTTTTGCCAATTTAGTGAATCAATCAAACATTTTTGATACTGGAGTTTATAGTTGTCTCGACTTTTTGACGGGAACGCGGGAAGCGAAGTTGTGTGAATTGTTTTATTTTGTCTATTTAATGTTGCTTCAGGTTTAAATCTGTAATAACGGTGGCTTATTAACCTTTTAGTATCTGTAAAAGTCCACAAATGTGGGAAAATGAAACAAAGCCGATGGACGTAGCTTTTCGGGATCTTCCAAAATGTCCACTGAAAAAGTTTCAATAATTATTATCCACCATTTTACTGTGATTATACTTCATCCTATATTATCTCATCTCATTTAATTTCATACCAATTGATTAATGTTTCAAATTAATCAACTTTGGTTTTTATTTCATTCTGTATTATCATTTTTCATAAAAAAAGGAAATAAACAATTAGTCTTTATGGTTTGATACCTTTGCCATTTCAGTTAGAAAAATAGAACTTCTACTACTGTTATTTTAATGTCAACGTGATGTCAACTCAAAATTTATGTCAAAATCTACGAGGCAAATAGCAAACAGTCATAAATAAAGAATAATACCATTTGAAACAAAAAAATTACAATGCAACTAGAGTAGCCTTATTAAACATTATACGTATCTTAATTAAACCAATATTATGAACTTGGAAATGTAATTGTATTGTACTTCTTCGAACCATGTGTGATAGTGACGAACAAGGTGACCACAGCCGTTCAGGCTTGGATCTGACCGGGTTCTTGTTTGGTAATATTGACGAAAGGGGTCAGTTAGAAGATGATGGATTGCTAGATGGTGAATCGAAGCGAATGTTATCATCGCTTAGCCGCTTAGGTTTAGGGTCTATGCTCTCTGAAGTCCTGGAGGTTGAGGAACCACTTAAAGAAGAGGAAGAAAAAGGTTAGTGTTTTTTTATCAATTTCGACTCTGCATTGTCGATGTTGAGTGTGTTACTACATTTGACGACACATTTGACTAAATTTGTCTAACTAAATTTGTCTAAATTTTGACTACAGTTGAATAAACATGCCTTGAAAGTAAACCAGTAAATGTAATAATACTTTAGAATATGTGTTTGTAATTGTCACTACGGACCTTAAAAGAATAAAATTAAAGGGGGAAGCTAAAAATAAGTCGTAGAACATCAACTGGGGATTTTCACATTTTATTCATTCTGTCCTGTTCATTCTGTTTACACAAATCTCGAAGTAATGACCTGATTTTCATGTAGATTTTGTAGGTACTAGTCAGACAGAATATCTTGCTGCAGAAAATAGGCTTTGCTTCATTACAGAAGAATGTTGCAAAAAATGTTATTGTCATTTAATGATTTTCGAAATTATATATAATTTATAATTAGTATGTAAGTACCTAGCTCTATTTGTATGTTTTCACTCCCAAACCACTATACTAAGTTTGAATTTAGTTTCGTGTCGAAATTATTACTGTATAAACCTTAGGAAATAATATGGCCTATATTTTGTCCCACTGCTGTAAATGGGTCTCCGTCACTCTTATATAAAAAGTAAATGGGTTGTGCACAGCTGTATTGGTAATTGAATGAAAGCCAAATAAAAAAAAGTAAAATAGTAAACAAATAGTTGTTGATTTTTATATTTCAAACCTATATTAGATATTAAGAAACCTTTTCATTAGTGTAAATTAGCACATTTTTTAAATGGTAACATGCACATAGACATCACATGGCAAATCAGTTTGAAGTCCCAAATGCCGAAATCACCTACTCTTGAAATGGAATGCTTGCTTATTTTCTAGTAAAAATATGCAGAACAGTGGATTGTAACCTTTGCCTTACCTTTAAGTAGCTGATATAAAAGTTTTGAATTGGATAACCAATGGTATTATGAGAAATATGCACTTATGATGAGAATATGCACATAGATTAGCAGTGAGTAAGCAAACTTCAGTCATAAATCATACATAGTCAACAGTGAAATCCAAGTCAGGAAACTTAGAAGATAGTAGTTTCTTTTAGTATGGTTCAAACTACTGTTAAGGTTTAATCTCACATTTTCTAATGTCAACTGAAATTTTAACTTAACTTTTAAACTGAAAACATTATTAATTGCAGTAATGGTAAACATCTAATTCTTTATTTTATTTCATCAGACTATAATGAGAAAAGTCCATCGGCTGTGGACTTTTTTGACATTGAAGATGCAGCAGAGGATATAAAAGTATGTTATTGATTTCACAAACCAACTTATAATATTGCATAGTATTTAATCTATTAAACAGCTATCTATTCTATCTAAACACCTACCATTATTTTAAAACTAATCACTAGATCTGAAATAAATTTATGTTTGTGTTACAGGTAGAAAATAATGTGATAAAATTTGAAAATACTTCAGATGTACAAACTGTGCATAGCAGCAATGTTCCTGTGATTATTGATTCACAGAGTATTAAAGAGGAATTAAAAGAAGATACTTGGAGGGACACTGATATTGCAGGAGAACAAGAGGTACAGAGTACCAATGATGATGGCTATGAAGGTGATATGGAAGGTGATGGTGGACTTATGCCTCCTCCTTCGACAGTTCCGTGAGTATATTCTTTTCCAACTTATGAATGAAAAAGGAACAGATTCACCCAATTAGATAAAGCATTTCATTTTATGACAACACAAATTGCATAATTGCTAAAAGTATGGTATAATGTAACCAAATCAATGGCTTATATGTAAGTACCAACATGTTGCCTATTTCGTCATCAAAATTAAATTTAGTAAATATTGGTAAATACAGAAATACAATATGACATTAAAATAAAATGAAAATTAATTGTTTTACAGACCCCCCAAACAAGAAAAACCCAAAAAACTAGATACTCCATTGGCTGCAATGCTTCCATCTAAATATGCCAATGTTGATGTCACAGAACTGTTTCCGGATTTCAGACCAGATAGAGTGAGTAATATGTCGGTTTTAAATATTAACAACAGCTGAATTCTCAAGCTAATAAATGTTTTTTATTTGCTGTTTTCATGAAATTTTATTTGATAAATATTCATGTAGGTACTTCTTTTCTCTCGACTTTTTGGACCTGGAAAACTGTCCAGCTTACCGCAAATATGGCGCGGTGTTAAAAAACGTAGACGTCGAAAGCGCAGTGGAAGTACAGGTAGTGACACACCACCGATGGTTCCAGACAGTCAGGAACCTCAATATGCAAGTGACGATGAAGAGAAACTTCTCAAGTAAATATACTGAAGATTAAAACAGCATTTTATTTATCAATAGCTTACTCTCTTATGTATGTATCCTTAAATTAATGATTTAAAAATAAATTTAATAACACTTATTTTAGGCCTATGGAAGAAAATCAACAGATGTCTAATGACGATAAGGGATTAGGCTCAGGAGATAAAGCACAAAGGCCAACACCGGCCCACTGGCGTTTTGGTCCTGCTCAAGTTTGGTATGATATGTTGAATGTACCAGAGACTGGGGATGGGTTTGACTACGGATTCAAATTAAAGGTATGGAACAACATCATGTATTTTTCTAAATAAAATTATACTTTAAATCGTCTGCGTCTTAATGGATGAGACGTCCGGTGTATTAATCTAGCGCTATATGTCAATAGGCCATAGCCCTGCGAATATGCCGCTGTTAAAAGCCCGTAGATAAGTGCCAATACTACTAATGAAATAGTTTTTAACTCACAACTGTAAATTCTCACACTCCACAATAAATAAATATGTAATAAAAATAAAACTTGTGAAAAATGTGAATAACGTAATTATCTTACAATTCAGCTGTTAACTACATTTCCGAGCCTGCGGACCGAATGGTAATCAGTCGACTTCGCCCTAAACACGTCATTCCATCTTCCCAATCCACTAACCGTGCTTTTATGTACATCAAGCAGCGGTTACCGTTCTCATCGTACCCGTCGCTTGCGACGAAGGGCTCAGCGAGTAAATTAACCTGAGTTTTCGCCAGATCTTCTCAGTGGGTGGCATTTCCGATCCGGTAGTAGATTCTGCGAAGCACTGCTCTTGCTAGGATTAGTGTTAGTAACGTCGTCAGGTTTGAGTCCCGTGAGCTCACCTACTTATCAGGTTACGCTGACATATACTCCCAAGGCTATCAGCTTCGGTAGGAAAAAAAAGCAAAAAAAAACGATTCAGATATAAAGCTCAAGTCTCAAGGTGAGTGGCGGCATTGTCTTTGTGTTATGTATGGGAACTGGTAATTATTTAACACCAGGTGTAGCTTGTTCACCTACATATACACTAAAAATAAAGAAAAACTCATTTGAAAGATGTTAATTGTTGTTTATCTCATTAAGTATATGTTTCTTACCTATTTGGGTCAATTTAAAACAAACAAATTTATTACGTATATTTATTTGTAAACAGACTCAAGGAACAGATCGTGAAGAAAAATCAAAGGAAGTTGAAGAAGAAATTAGAGACACTGTGGAGAGTGCGGATAGCCCTGATAGTGGCTTTCCCGATGATTCTTTCCTTATGCTGTCACAGTTGCAGTGGGAAGATGATGTTATATGGGACGGAAGTGAAATGAAACATAAGGTATGCTTTATAAACTACACACATTAAATTATATCAACCATTTTCTCTTGAAATATTTGAAATAAAAAAAAAACTCAAATTTTTTTTTTTCTTAATAATATTTTATGTCAGTATTTTGTTCATTCATAAAAGTTCTTGTTAAAATCATGTCTATATGTGCCAACAAGCAGTCATAAGTGTTCTGTTTAAAAGATGGAATAGCTCTAAACAATGCAATTGTAACTTCTATCTCATGTCAGGCCACATCTTCATTGTTTTTCTATGGTACACCCATTTTATTAATAGATTAGCTTATGTGTATTGTATGTAATATGTAATTTTTCAGGTGCTTGCCCGTTTGAACAGCAAAAGTAATGCAGCCGGATGGGTTCCTACTTCAGTAAGCCGTACTGCACAGCAATTCTCACATCCTAGACCACAGCCGCCAACCACATTACAGACTAAAACACCCGCGTAAGTCTTTGTTTACCTTAATTTAACATGGTTTAGTATGTTTATGATTCCTAATTTATGCAACGAATTATTGGAACATGTTAAAATAACTCTCTCAGAAAAGTGTAAATAAAAGTGTAAATCATTAATTTGAAACTTATTGTCGTCTTAAAGAAGTGTACACAAGCAAATATTTTTTATATCTACGATACAGCATGAAATTCTGGAATGAAATAATCGATTTCATGACGAATACAAAACTAATTTTAAAAATGTCGTTTTTTACAGTTTAGTAGAGCATCATTACACAATAGTCTATATTTTTTAGAAGTGAAACGCTGTATGCTCTTCCGGATAGCTACTAATATTTATGCCGCAAACATTTATATGTTTCTGTTTGAAGGGTGGGGATAATAGTTATAGAATACAAATGAAATATTGAGCTCACGTCTCAAACTGGATGGTGGCATTCACATTGCTATATCTATCCAACAATATCTTAATATTCTGTGATTCTGAACTCTTCTATTTGAAGAATAAGATTGTTTTTTTTCATGAATTCTTAGTGCTACAGCCACTTCTGCTAATAACCAACCAGGAGGGAATTCAGCTGACGGTGAAGATAACACTTGGTACAGTATATTCCCAGTTGAAAACGAAGAGTTGGTATACGGTACTTGGGAGGATGAAGTTATATGGGATGCAGAGAATATGTCCAAAATACCGAAACCTAAGATACTTACGTTGGATCCTAACGATGAAAACATTATATTGGGTATTCCAGATGATGTCGATCCTTCGAAGATTACTAGAGGTAGGCCACGTTTGCATCACCATTTGTGTTTAATTTGTACCCTATACATCCATCATGATTTTTTAATTTAATCCAAATAAAAAAGTCAGTCTGTTGAGGAGTCTGACTGTTTCGGGAACATGGTTAATGTTGACAAGACAAACAAAAACAAGCGACACGTAAACATGAAATAATGGCATATAGAGGAATGGCAAAAGAAACACATTCAGTATCTTTTAAAGAAAACTATTAGTAGTTAGTGAATATTATTAATATTATGCTATCCGTATTATATTAAAACTAGCGACCCGCCCTCGCTTCGCTTCGGAAACTGTAATTTATTATTGATTTCTCCACTATTTAATGGTGTTATTATACATATAAACCTTCCTCTTCAATCACTCTATCTATTAAAAAAAACCGTATCACAATCCGTTGCGTAGTTTTAAAGATTTAAGCATACATAGGGATGTAGGGACAGAAAAAGCGATTTTTTTTATACTATGTAGTGATAAAGTGTTATTAATTGATTTGATATGAAGGTAGTAATTAATTAACTAATAAATTATAATTCTTAGCTTGAAAGTATATCTAGATAGTTCTATGTTTCAACATTCATCAGCCTTATGTAGCCTTGTGTTTGGGTACAACAACTATGAGCCATACTTTATTTTGCTTCCAGAGCGAGGTCCAGCTCCTAAAGTAAAGATACCTCATCCTCACGTTAAGAAATCCAAGATCCTGCTTGGAAAAGCTGGTGTAATTAATGTACTTCAAGAAGATGCTCCACCGCCGCCCCCTAAGTCGCCTGACAGAGATCCTTTCAATATATCTAATGATGTGTTAGTATTTATACCGAAGTCACATTATCCTTTTACATATTACATAGACACATATTACCTTAATTTATCATTATTAACTCCCCTCCTCAACGAAACAAATTTAATACGACACCCATAGACAAAGCCCACTGAGTTTCTCGCCGGATCTTCTCAGTGGTTCGAGTTTCCGATCCAGTGCTAGCTTCTGTGAAACACTGCTCTTACTAGGGCCAGTGCTAGCAACACTTTGAAATCGTTGTGGCCTAAAGGATAAGACGTCTGGTGCATTCGTGTTGAAGCGATGCACTGGTATTCTAATCCCAGGCAGGTACCAATTTTTCTAATGAAATACGTAATCAGCAAATGTTCTCGATTGACTTCCACGGTGAAGGAATAACATCGTGTAATAAAAATCAAACCTGCAAATTTTAATTTGCGTAATAACTGGTGGTAGGACCTCTTGTGAGTCCGCGCGGGGAGGTACTACCGCTCCGCCTATTTCTGCCGTGAAGCAGTAATGCGTTTCGGTTTGAAGGGTGTGGCAGCCGTTGTAACTATACTTGAGACCTTAGAACTTTATCACAAGGTGAGTCCATTTACGTCGTAGATGTCTATGGGCTTCAGTAATCACTTAACACCAGTTGGGCTGTGAGCTCGTCCACCCATCTAAGCAATAAAAAAAAAGACTTACCTAGTAACACACACCTAGTAACTTATTAATTGATCAACAGATACTACCAGCCAAAATCGCAGAACCCACGTTTGAAGGTGGGCGGCGGTCAGCTGATACAGCACAGCACGCCGGTGGTGGAGCTGCGCGCGCCGTTCATCCAGACGCACATGGGGCCGGCTCGACTGCGCGCGTTCCACCGGCCCGCGCTCAGGAAGCTGACGTACGGGCCGCTCTCCGCCCCCGGACCGCACCCCGTCCAACCCTTGCTGAAGCATATTCGAAAGAAAGCTAAGGTCTGTGTTTTTCTTTTTTTTTAAAGATATTTTATGACCAGGTAACTAAGACCTTTAGGCCGTGTCTTATCTATACTAATATATAAATCTACAATGGTTTTTATGGATGTTCCGTTATAACTACTGAACCATGCATCCGATTGACTTGAGACTTGGCATCCATGTCGAAAATATATGTACTCAATGGATAGGCTAATATTTGTATGAGTGTTGGACTCCCTAACGATAATGACAATAAATAATAATGTTAATTTTAAATGCTCAGTGAAGCTGGCAAGTACCGCTAGTATAATATACCGATATTACTTCTTTTTTATTTATGCGCCAATTTTGTGAATTAGGGAAGTGAAATGCTGAAAATTTTATTTTTATCAATGAAATAGGGCTCTAAATTGCAAAACTTAATTCTTCGATCGACTAATGTCTAGTCAATATGATTTGAACAGCAACGTGAAGCAGAAAGACTGGCGTCTGGTGGTGGTGACGTGTTCTTCATGCGGACGCCGGAAGATCTGAGCGGTAGAGACGGTGAAATAATACTGGTCGAGTTCTGCGAAGAGCATCCGCCACTGTTGAGTCAAGTTGGCATGTGCACTAAGATCAAAAATTACTACAAGCGGACAGCTACCAAGGTGAGCATCAATAAAAAATTGACATCCCGGAAGTGATGCAGGGGTACTATTTTAAATCATTAACAACGTACAGTAGATTGAGGGGAATAGAGACTAGAATAGAAGAGAAGGGACAAATCTGGGATGTCACAATATTTTTATTGAGTGGTTAGATTTAATTTTGTTAAACTGAAAATGACTCGTATTTAGTTTTTAAGAATACTAAATAGTTTAATTTAGTCATCAAAGTTTTGTAACTCGTTAAAGAAATTAAAAAGTTAATTACCTAAACTTAGGTACGTACCTAATAACTAAATAGTGCCAGCCCTATCGAAAAACTCTATTGTCCCCATACATAACCTGATTCACCCCAAAGCCAATCTGAATCGGGTCAAGCTAGTTTTTTCAGCTTTTGTGTATATTTTGCAATGAACTATGTATAATAACGCATCGTATATAAAAATGTAAGTTTCCAGAACCATTTCAATCTCAATTTTATTGGTATTACTCTATGAAAAACTATTGAAAATTTGTGATAGATTTGAAAAGGGTCCCGATTCCCCCGCAATCTACGGTAATAATAATAATAATATAACTCTTTGCTTGACACTACATGTACAGAGTAAGCATGTAAAACAAATAATAATAGACGCTGACATAAATTGGCGGCCTTACAGCTGAAAGCCATCTCTTCCAGGCAATCTTGCAGGGGGAGGAATAAGTAAACTGGCATTTACGGTGCTATATCTTAATAAACTTACTTAAAAATATATACATATCGACGCTTGAAAGGCAAACGTGACTAAGCGACAATGCGTGAACCTTACAGTAGACTAATTTAAAGTTGAAATACCTGAAAAAAATTCTATTTTAATGAATCTAGCTGTAGGATTGAAATGATTTTAATAGACCTAGAAATATATATTTTTTCCGCATCGAATATGGTTATTGCCTATCATTTATGTACAAAGCAGTTATTGTCGCTTAGTCACGTTTGCCTTTCAAGCGTCGATATATATACCATGTGAAAAATAAATACAATATAAGATAGACTTACATACTACGGTACAGCCAAACTTAATTATTTCATTGATGAACAGGACAACGGTCCCAAGCCACTGAAGTACGGTGAAGTAGCGTACGCTCACACGTCGCCGTTCCTCGGGATCCTGGCGCCGGGAGCCACGCAGCCGGTAGTCGAGAACAACATGTACAGAGCTCCTATATACGAACACACGTTGCCGCAGACTGACTTCATCATTATACGTACCAGGTACGTAATACTGTCTGATGTATATATAAGCTTTTTTTTCCTACTTAAGCTGATGGTCGTGAGAGACCATATCAGCGTAACCTAAGAAGTAGGTGAGCTCATGGGGCTCAAACCTGACGTTGCTAACACGAACTCTAGCAAGAGCCGTGCATCGTAGAATCTACCACCGGGTCGGAAACGCGACCCACTGAGAAGATCCGACGAGAAACTCAATGGGCAAATGTCGTCTGCTCTATAATGACTCTCAACAGTCCGGTGGAGGTAATCCCGGGCATTACGCTATACGAAACCCATATACCATATTTTACAAATGAGATTTATGAAAAGTCCTTAATGGTTGGCATTTTTAATGTCAATGAGCAACGTGATAACAATAATAATAATAAGCTCGTTCTGTGAGCAGTGCTGTAAAAATTTCAGAAACCAATTTGGAAAAATAAATTTCCTCGAATCAATCGAAAGTAATAAAAAAAATATTACTAATAACAACAAAATGTACTTACTGCTTAAAATACTAAAGAATTTAACGAACCCTAATGGTCTTATTTACAATGAGTTATTTGAGCAGTATTAGCTCGATATAAAAATACTGTCACAAAGTTCTTCTTTGTATGTATAATGAGTGAAACTATTCTTATAACAGGCTTAATGGACTCAGATAACTCTTTATGAATAAGAACGCTTATTTAAAGTTTTAAAACAAATTATAACTGAAATCACTATTGAAATCTAATCATTAAATTTCAGACAAGCATATTATATACGTGAGATCGACGCTGTGTACGTTGCCGGACAAGAGTGTCCGCTGTATGAAGTCCCCGGACCAAATTCAAAGAGAGCTAACAATTTCGTTAGAGATTTCTTGCAGGTAAATATGGTTCTAGATGTTGGAAACTGATTGATACTTTTCATTTGCCTACCTATTGCCAGTAGCCTAGAAGGGATATTCTGACTTTACTGGGTGTGTAGGCGTCATCACGGGAAACTTTGCTAACATCTGCTCTAGTAAGAGCAGTGCTTCGCTGATTCTACTACCGGATCGAAATCGCGTCTTACTAAAAGGATTCGGCGTAAAATTCACCGGGTTGTATCTATGAGTTAAGTTGCACGTCGAACTCTTAACGATAACCGGTGCCTGAAATCCCTAAGAGCATCGATCAATACTAATGGTATTGACAAATCTAAAAACGCCAATTCGTTTTTTTTTTAAATGAAAATAATTTTTCATCGAAAGTTCAAACTCAATATTCAGGTCGTAATAGCGTGAATGTTTAATATTGTTACGCGCTGGGGTTCGGAATAAATAAAAATTAGATCGAAGTGCAAATTAAAACTATTTAACTTAAAACCCTTAATGAAGACTTTAAAATTTTCAATTCACTTCGTCCGCTTCGCTTCAGATGATCCGTTCGCTGTTTCGCTTCAAGTAGTTCCGATTACTAACTGATTCCGTGCCATCGCTGCATCGCTTTAATAGTCGCTACGACAGCCCTAGAATCATCGAGAACTTTCTCGATAAGATATTTGTTTCCGCTATTTGATAATAGATGACGTTGTACTTCTCGAGCGTTCTCGACTTTGCTAGTTCCTCTGGCATTCGTCTCCGCTATTCGACGGTAGATGGCGTTACTCTCACCGGCGTAACAATATGAATAGTATTTTTTTTCCTGCATTTATCTGCTATCTGCTCTATAGCCATAATCAGATGTGTTCCAAGGGGTTCGAGTTGTGGATGACATTACATTAAATGTCATCAATTACAGCAGTAAACTTAATTTATTTGGTCTAAGTCTAAAATTTGCTATCTGTTTAGACGTTTTACATCTCCAATTGTGTCTAGCAGGCACCTTGCCAGTTCATTTGCGTGCTTATTTAGTCTTTCTTTGTATCTCTGTTCTTGTTGACTTCCCTCTCTAACAGTCGGCATTTCTAAGTTTGAATAGTATTAAAAACAATTTTTTTTCAGGTGTTCATCTACAGGCTGTTTTGGAAATCTCGTGACAAGCCACGTCGTATAAAAATGGACGATATAAAGAGGGCGTTCCCATCGCATTCTGAAAGTTCGATTAGAAAGAGATTGAAGCTTTGCGCTGATTTTAAGCGTACCGGATTGGATTCGAATTGGTATGTCAGTTAGATAAATAATATACAGAAAATGGACATTATATTTAATATAATTATTGTTAAATTGTTTGGAAAATTATATTCATTTTGGTCTTAAAAACATCTTAGAATTGTATTTTGTATTCAGGACACGTAATATCAAGTTATAAAAGATTTTTATGGCTCAAGTATGCCGAATCTAAAAATAATGTAATCAATCGTTAATTAGAATAACATCATTTTGTAAGAATAAAACAATGTGTAAAACGACGACCTGACGATAAAGGATTTACTTTGTCTCATTTTCATACTATATACTAGAAAGAAAATATGTGTGGTGTCGTGAGACACCGGATAGGAACGATTTCCTTATTATAAAAATATTAGTTTTAAATTCTATTCGAGGTATAAAGAAAATAAAACTGGAGGTTTCGCAAAACCCCAAAGTAATGAACATTTTCCAAATAAGATATGACCTAAAGGTCTCTGTCACCAGGTCTAAATAAAAAAAAAAAAGGTTTCGCAATAACTCACGGTCATTCGGTAACTTGCGAACTTATTGTGGTACATTTCATTCACGGTTGTTTGCATAAAAGTTAGTGTATTGCGCTAACGAACGCTCTGAGATCGTGGTCAATGAAATTTTATTTTTTGTCCGTTATTACAAAGTTAATTCGTACACTGTGTGCATTACTAATTTGTACGTTATTACAAAGTTAAGTATTACACCGTGTGCATTACTAATAAAAATCTTACGTTACGGACGTTTTTTCCCGGTTAGGGTACCCCTCCGCATCGTCCCATAAGGACTTCGTTCTAATTCGTTCCAAAAACATTACTTAGAGGTATTCAAAAATAATCGACCAATATGAAAACAATAAAATAATCAGCCATTAATTAAATGAAATATAATACAGGTGGGTGATAAAGCCGGATTTCCGTCTACCCTCCGAAGAAGAAATCCGAGCCATGGTGTCGCCCGAACAGTGCTGCGCATACTTCAGTATGGCGGCCGCAGAACAAAGACTGAAAGACGCTGGCTACGGAGAAAAGTTCCTGTTTACCCCGCAAGAGGACGATGACGAGGAAATGCAGCTGAAGATAGATGATGAAGTGAGAAAACCTTTGTCGGAAACACCATATTTTTACTGGTGGTAGGACTTCGTGAGTTCGCGCGGGTGGGTACCACCACCCCACCCCGCCTATTTCTGCCGTAAAGCAGTAATGCGTTCAGTTTGAAGGGTGGGGCAGCCGTTATAACTATACTGAGACCTTAGAACTTATATCTTAAGGTGGGTGGCGCATTTATGTTGTAGATGTCTATGGACTCCAGTAACCACTTAACACCAAGTGGGCTGTGAGCTCGTCCACCCATCTAAGCAATAAAAAAAATATCACTAACTCTTCAATATTTAGATTAATTTTGTGTATTGCATTTTCACTTTTGATGTGATAAAGCGACAAAATTGAGTTAATATGCGGAATCATTTGGTATCATCACCAGTATTTTTCTCATAAATACTGTCAAAAGAGCGTTGTTTAGTTTTCGTTTTTTTTTAGTTTACCTATATTTTGACTACTATTAACAAAATTAATACATAATTTTATCTTACTTTAAAAGACATAATGTAACTGGTAAAAAATAAATGTTGCAAAGATGGTTAATATTAAAAATATCACATGTTAAACTTTTAAAACACTCTCCTGTAAAATTAGTAAGTTTTGAGATTATATAGTTTGAATGCGAGAATACGATATGTTCGTAGGCTGTGGTAACCACGGATAATAAGGACGTAACCATTCACTAATCAATACCAAAAGAATGTTGAACTAAAAAGTTTGTAACAGGTAAAAGTGGCTCCGTGGAACACGACCCGCGCCTACATCCAGGCCATGCGCGGCAAGTGTCTGCTGCAGCTGACCGGCCCGGCGGACCCCACCGGCTGCGGCGAGGGGTTCTCGTACGTCCGGGTGCCGAACAAGCCCACGCAGCAACCGAACGAGGAGCAACAACCGAAACGAACCGTCACCGGGACCGACGCTGACTTGAGGAGGCTGAGTTTGAACAACGCTAAGGCACTGTTGAGGAAGTTCGGTGTTCCCGAAGAGGAGGTGAGATCTAACTGATATGTTTTTTTTAAGGGACTTTATGACCTGGTAACTGAGACCTTTAGGTCAAGTCTTATTTTAATTTAATGAAAACTTTTTTGAGTTAAATTATATTATGAAATGAAACGAAATGAGATGATATGGGATCAAATACAATCTCAGTAAAATTGTGGTCATTTACTGAGACTGTTTCAGTTGACTGTTTTGAGGATCCCGAGAAGTCACGTTCAGCGGCTTTGTTTCATTTTCCCACATTTGTGCAATTTCACTGATACTAAACAGTTAATAAACCACCGTTATTATACATTTAAATCTAACACTAAATAGACGAAATAAAACAAATCACACAACTTCACTTCTCGCGTTCCCGCCAAAAAGTCCATATGTTTGTTTAACGTTCGAACTGTCAATAGGGTATTCCCCCTTTTCTTGTCTACATCTCCTGTGGCGAAAATAAACTCCCTGACGTCACCCCTTCTTGATAAGTAAGAGGCCTGTGGTTGCCAAATTAACACGATGATAGTGTAGTAGGGGATTATGTTTAAGAGTTAGGGAAGTGAAATATAATAAACAGTTGAGATAGAAATTTTGTATTAAAGTCTATGAATACATTTAGGCAATATAGACTTAGTTGAATATGTAGAAATACTTTTAAATAGAACTGAGAAATTATTAGAACTATATTAGAACTAAATTATTAGACTATATTAGAACTAAATTATTTTTTTAGATCAAAAAGCTGTCGCGCTGGGAAGTCATCGATGTTGTACGAACATTATCGACCGAGAAAGCAAAAGCTGGCGAGGAAGGCATGACGAAGTTCTCCAGAGGAAATAGATTCTCTATTGCAGAGCATCAAGAAAGGTACGCTTGTTTTTAGTAACTTTAATAGGAAGACAAAAACATCGCTTATCTGAGGTTAAACGACTATCGGAGCCCATAGATACATACCACAAGCCCACGTTGTTGAATTTTTTATTTATTATATCCTTTAAGTCAAAACGCATAAATTACTTCTTGACGTATTAATTCCAAACAAAAGGGGTAACTATGTATTATTATATCAATAATACAATCAAACAATGAAAACAAAATTTCAATTCGCGCGGAAAATAACTACAGCCTTTTTAATTTCGCAACGAATACATGATCCTTATAAAAACTCGAAATACTTATATGTGGTATTACCAATTTTATCTTCAAATTTTCTATTGTATCTAATTTAAAAATCCGTATTAGATAAGCTCTCGTTTTGAGCATCGACCATCGTTTGTTGTTTTTTTGTTTTTTGTTTTTTGCTGAGTACATTTTTCATTACAAAAATTGGTACCCGCCTGAGATTCGAACACCGGTGCATCGCTCAACACGAATGCACCGGACGTCTTATCCTTTAGGCCACGACGACTTCTAAATGTTACTGAATACTGAAAATGGCGACTGTTAAATAAAATAGGTACAAAGAAGAATGTCAGCGTATATTCGAGCTCCAGAACCGCGTCCTGCAGAGTACAGAGGTGCTAAGTACCGACGAGGCCGAGAGTTCGGTCAGCGAGGAATCTGACTTGGAAGAAATGGGCAAGAATCTCGAAAATATGCTAGCAAATAAAAAGACCACAGAACAGGTAAGGATCAAGATTTATTTGTGGAGCTTGTGGTATTAATGATATTAAGGTTTCAAGTTATAATTTATTAATTAGAGAATGTCTTATGCCTTAAATCCTGTGTGCATGATGTTGAATAAATCTATATAATAATATATCTATATATATATAAAAATGAATTGCTGTTCGTTAGTCTCGCTAAAACTCGAGAACGGCTGGACCGATTTTGCTAATTTTGGCTTGGAAGGTTTAAAAGGTAGATAAATATGAAAATGCTCGGAATTAAATAAAAATAACAATTTTGTTTTTCCTTTGATGTGTCCCCCGTAGGACGGATCCCTTTTGTTTGTTTTAAGTTTATTTTATACAAAAGTTTAGGTCTTTTATCCATCGATTGAGGCACTACGAAGTCTGCCGGGTCAGCTAGTATATAAATAATTAGCGGGTTCTTATCGGGATTTTCATATTTCATGAGTTTCCGATATTTTGGCGCGCTGTTGTAAGCCCCATGATCATTAAGTGTGTTATGTATGCCCATGTATTGTCTATGCCCGGGTAGACTGAGCCGTCACTAACGTAGGTAGCTGCGAAGGTTTCGTTAAAAAACTATGATACGTTATAATTTATGTGTAAAAAGAATGGAAGATAACTTTGTCTCTTTCTTTTATTGCTGTTCTCGTATTCGTATCATTTTATTGCTGTTCTCGTATTCGTATCATTTTATTGCGAGAATATTGAAATCAATATTTTAATGTGGTAGTTATGCTACGTATAAAAAGTTGAAAAAAATCACAAAGCTAATACTATCCAGCGAGGTTAAATTTTCAATCGTGCATACAGTTGTTTCGACCCTCAAACTGGAAATAACGGGTTTGCTTCGCAGTTAAACTACACAGGACGGTAGGAATACCTAAGGGGGCATCCAAAACGACCAATACCTACATCGTGCAAGTAGTATGCGCTTACAATCTATACTAATATATAAATCTACAGTGGTTTTTACGAATGTTCCGTTATAACTACTGAACCATGCATCCGATTGACTTGAAACTTGGTATCTATGTAGAAAATACATGTAATTAATGGATAGGCTAATATTTATATGAGTGTTGGACTCCCTATACCAGTTGCGGGGGCGTTAATGATGAGAATCTTTGTGGGGGTGAGAAATAATAATGTTAATTTTAAATGTCCAGCGAAGCGGACGGGCGCAGCTAGTAATACTATAATATTATATTATGAAACTTAAAGTAGTAAAAAACATTAATATACTAAACTGGAAAGTTGACTTAAATTTTTATAACTAGCTTATGTCCATACTAGCTGTCAATGGAAAGAGAGGAGGCAGAGAGAGCGGAACTTCGGAAGATGATAATGGGACAGTCCGAGAAGAAACCGCAAATTAATCCAAGCGATCAACAACAAACATCGAGTCAAGGTATGTCTTAAGTTTACAATACAACTTAAAAATATATTTATGTACCATACCTTTGTTTTATGATATAAAGCTTAAAACACAATAAATTATCTAACACTGGATCATAGTCGTAAATACGTTCTAAATTCAAAGTTCCATAATATATGTGTACAGATCAAGATAATCCAATTCATATTATATTAAGGCGTTAATATTATATTTTAAAATAAATATAAACAGTATAATAATATGCATATAAACAAAATTATTATAAACAGAATTGAGAAAAACAAATGTCGTGTATTGTTAAGTACGTAATTCATTAGAAAAATTGGTACTTGCCAGCGGGATTCGAACACCGTTGCATCGCTAGATACGATTGCACCGGACGTCTTATCCCTTAGGCCGCAACGACTTGTGTATGCCACGTGTAAATTAAATTAAAAAAAACGATGTGTGGTGTCGTGGGACACCGGATAGGAACGAAGCTCCTTATTATAAAAATATTAATTTTAAGTTCAATTCGAGGTATAAAGAAAATAAAACTGGAGGTTTCGCAACAACCCACGGTTATTCGGTAACGTGCGAACTTATTGTGGTACACTTCATTCACTGTTTGCATAAGAGTTAGTGTATTGCGCAAACGAACGTTCTGAGATTGTGGTCAATGAATGATAAAAAATATGTTATTTTTTGTACGTTATTACAAAGTTAAGTCGTACACTATATGCATTACTAATAACAATCTTACGTTACGGACGTTTTTCCCGGTTATGGTATCCCTCCGCATTGTCCCATAAGGAACTTCGTTAAAAAAAAACCATAAATATTATTATGTACACATAATTGATTGTCAGAAATTTCGAATATCGAACAAAGATGGCGCCGGCTGAAGTTACAAACTTTAATTCACAGCAGGTCGAGTGCTTCGCATAGTGCGCACGTTCCGCGACGCGTCCGGCCAGCGGTACACGCGCGTCGAGCTCGTGCGGAAGGCGGCCGTCATAGAGGCCTACACCAAGATACGGTCCACCAAGGACGACATGTTCATACGCCAGTTCGCCTCTATGGACGAAACGCAGAAAGAAGAAATGAAGAGGGAGAAGAGAAGAATACAGGTAAAATATAATGGATGTGTACTAGTGTTAACGCATTGATCGAAAATCGACCATAGTTACTGATACCATAAGATTTATATTCGTTTTATGTACTATTTTTTTTTCTTTATACCTTTAGAATTAGTCAATAATATAATAATAGAGGAGATAATGTTACTTAACTGTGTTGGTCTTTGCCTATTTATATTATTAAATCTTTATAAATAAAAATGTTTGTTCTTATAACATTCATCCGATTGTAATAAAATTAATTATGTGCAGTTGACTTTGGAACTTCAAGAAAGTAAACTATGATAGTACCGTCAACGTACACCAGATGGCGCTCGTATAGTTTCAACAAATGAGTGTACTTTACGTACATATTTACGCACCGTATTTCACTAGTACCCTATAACATAATTAATGAAATATTTGAAATTCTGCCCTTAATACTTTTTAATATATCCCATATTATTATCTTACTAAGAAGAGATTTATGACGAATTCCGTGACTTCTCAGTGGGTCGCGTTTCCGATCCGGTGGTAGATTCTGCGAAGCCCTGCTCTTGCTACGGTTCGTGTGAGCAACGTCGTCAGGCTTGAGCCCCGTGAGCTCACCTAATGGATAAGGTTACGCTGAAATAGCCTCTCAAGGCTATCAGCTTAGGTAGGCATAACAAAAAAGGTCGAACAACTGTTACACAATACAGTCGGAACTTCCAGCCACGAGTTTGTTCATCTATTAACAATACAATTAAGGCAAATACTTAGTTTCTAGTTGTGACGAAGAATTTAAAAAAAAAACTACGGAATCCTAAATGTGATTTCAGCATCATCCATTCTAAAGTACTTATCTTATTGATCTAGAAATCGATGTGTAAATTAAATTAAATGTTGTTTTGTTTTTGTTCAGGAACAATTGAGACGTATCAAGCGAAATCAGGAGAGAGAAAGACTGGCCGGCAATGTCACCGTACCTGGCCTTGGGAACGACAGTGAGTAACCACTAGATCTACCAGACGAGTGCGGGTAAATTTGATGGAACCGTGGCCTAATAGCTGAGACGAACGGTCTACTTCCAATCATTCGATTATATAGTAGTTCGAAGTGGGAACATTAAGTCCAGGGGTGAAAGGCCATTTGGTTTAAGCGACATTTTTGCAACTTTACAGGGCAGCCTTTTAAAGTTTAAAATTTGGGAAAAAAATACATGATAAAAAAAAATCATCAACTACATATTTGAATAGAGTAAACTTAATTGAATGATAAACATTGCGCTAGATTAAACCATTATTTCGTATATTTTTATGTAAAACAGGAATCATACACTTCCTAGTGCGCGTTGTACCATTTGAAATCAAGCGACATCGTACAGATCTTGAAAGAGTAGATAGATTGTCTATTGTACAATTATACCTGCTTGTTGACTGGTTTTCAATGTTGATTGTGTTTTGGTGTGCATTAAAGTATAGTCTCTCTCTTTCTCTTTCTCTTTTTCTCTCGCTCACTATACAATTTAACTTTTTTAAGAGCCATCACATCGTGAATGCAGTCACCCGCCTTTAGACACTTGGTCGATTTCTTAACTGTATAGCAACATCGACTGTTCAAAAAGTTTCACTAAAATTATAAACATATCGTATGTTTTGTGAACAGGTGACCTCGGGCCCTCCTCCAGCAACCTCATACCTCTGGGCCAAATCAAACAAGAGCCGGATCTCCACACGCCATCCCGAAGACGTGCCAAACTAAAGCCTGACTTGAAACTAAAGGTATCAGTATGCAAGGTATTATCGGCTTGTTCATATTTTCATACGCAAATAACACGACACATTAGGAGTACAAGTAAAGTGTAATGAACGTCCTAAGCATGAGCATGACTTACTAATGTGCGAATGTATTCTGTATGCACCCAATTCTCTACGGCGCGAACTGGAAGCAATCACGCGGTCCGACTTGAGGGTCGTCGTTGTTCTAAAGCATATATTATGGGCAAAAACCCACTGTAAGATATGATCCGGCCCGCGAGACATTTTGAAAAAACCCAAATAATAAAATATTACATTAGGCACTTATACTCCCGGCACCCGGGCGGGCCCAACTCCTCTCTCATTGTGTTACGTCGGGAGAGATTGAGCGACACGGATCAAAACCAGCAGGGGTTTCCGGGTTCTCCATGCCCTTCACTGGCTGAAGGGTGCTTCTTCTGGAGACGCCTGAGCCTCTCCGTCCCCTTTCTTCTTCCCCTTTGTTATTTTGGTTTTACTTTTTGTTCTGTCTTTCTGTCTGTGTTGTTTTTCGTTCTGTTTTCTTTTGTTTTAGCCATGGCAGCCTGCCGTAAGGCAAACGAATATGACAAAATAGGAGAGGTTGAGCGCTTGCAGCGATTCCTGACAGAGGTGGGTCCCTCCCCCTCCCCACATTCAATGTGGTCGGCAATATTGTCTCGACAATTGCGGCCAAATTGGGTGCGGGCTTGAAGGGTACCTATGTGTTGGCTATGAAGGCTGCGGCTAGAGCTACACTTGCTGCACGCTCGCTTCGAGCAGATTTCGGCGGACTTCGGGCGGAGAATGGACAGTTACGTGTTGATATGGCCGAGATGCAAACGATGGTTGCCGATCTTATCGAGCGGCAATGCAGTTCGGCCCCTGTCCCTCCTCTGCCCGAGCGCAAGCCAGACGGGCAGACTGCCGGTAGTCCCTCCCCGGGGCTACGACCAACATGTCGTCGACATAGCAGACGACACTTAGCCCGAGGAGAGGACCCCGTAATGCGTCCCGCAGGAACCAGTCGAAGCCGATGTTCTACAGCAGGGGGCCCAAGACAGACCCCTGTAAAACACCGCGCTCGACGGGGAAGCGGTACACCGCCCCACTGTGTCAAACACATTCAATCGACCTATCCTCGAGATAAGAGCTGATCAGCCGGCTCAGGTGCGTAGGGACGCGCGGACGCCGTGATACTCGAGCGCCCCCGCAATCACCGACCGAGGCAGGGTGTTGAATGTATGTAGTGTAGCGCAGTAGTGGGCCTACTACAGGCCCACTACTGCGCGAGGCCCACTATAGCGCGAGACCTACTACAACGCGAGACTCTACAACGTGGGACTCTCTACAACGCGACACTCTCTACAACGCGAGACCCACTACAACGCGAGACCCACTACAACGGGAGACCCACTACAACGCGAGACCCACTACAACGCGAGACCCACTACAACGTGAGACCTACTACAATGCGAGACCTACTACAATGCGAGACTCTACAACGCGAGGCCCACTACAACGCGAGACCTACTACCACGCGAGACCCGAGTAACCTAAAACTAATATAACTGGGTAGCACGTCATTATTAGTAATTGCTTACATTCGAGCTGCGACACCCAGCCATTTTCAAGTCTGCGAGTGATTTGAAGTTAACGAGCGAGGCTGCTACGGCATTATAGTCTTTTGTAACTCGATCTCTTTATTTACGATATGCGATACGATATTTTTTTTCTGAAGTATTGTCGTGGACTAGGCTTGGCTGACATTGTGGCCAAATTTTAGCTGAATTCAGTTAGTCTCAGCTTGATGCTTCATTTAACACCAAAAGGACCAAAAGGCCAAAAAGGGACTGCAAGATTTGCTCTGACAATAACACGCCTAGAGTTGGGTGGGAAATATCGTATTACTGTGATACGTGCGCTGGTAAACCTAGGATTCATCTTGACTGTTGTTTCATTAAATAAGACACTAACACTCTAATTATAGAGTGTATTTATCAAAGTTTGTTGTTTTCGACATGTAAATGAAGAACGGGTGAAATTTTTATATTTGTATACGTTTGTTTGTTTATAAATATTTTTGAAGTACCTGTAAAATGTTCACCTAATTTGGCCGAAATCGTTTTGAGTTACTGGCTTGCGCAAACAAAAAGGCCTCGAGTTCAGGGGTTAAGATCGGTGATACTAATTATAATTTATTATTTTTATATATAGAAAATCGTGTTATACGTGTTTAAGTGTCACATATCCAATTGAAAGCTTTTCAGGGAAATATTATATCATTTTAGTTGTTGGTTTTTCAGGGAAATATTATATCATAGTCTCTTTAAGGGGGAGGGGAGCATCCGTTTCAACAAATTTATGTCCTTAAGGACATAAATTTCAATTCAATTCAAATTCAATTTTAAGGACAAAAATTCGACTTAAGTCAATCTTATCATGACACACATGATAAGATTGACTTAAGTCGAATGCTCTCGCGATGCGACGCCACATGGCATCGGTATCGCAGGATCCGACTGATGCATGACCACGACCACTCTGTCAAGAGTGTACGAATAGGAAGAAGAAGAATCATAAGAGCAATCTTATAGCGGAACATAGTAGGGATTCACTAGTCTTCAAGTTGTCGATAAAAACAAAATCGATGTGTATATGTCTATTTGTCTACTGTGCATTTCTACTCATTTGATTGCTATGAAACTTGGTACAGTTGTTGTTGGCACTTCAAGGTTTGTGTCAATCGATGTTTTTCATACACGAATCTACCTAACAATATGCACTAAGGTTGCGATTTCTTTGGGCCCCGTTAATCGCTCACCAACTGAATTGCAAGCTTGTCTTTGTCCGTAGCAAGAAATGCCGTTTGGATAAAATTGACGTGCATACAGAATACCGCTTAATAACACGTAGAAAGCCAAGCAAGCTAAATTATATGCTTTTGAATAGAATAAAGAACTTTTATTATACGTATTATACAGCTACATCAAATCAGAAGTTGTATTATTTAAATAATGCAAATGCTTGCAAACAGATCTGAATACTGCTAGTTGATTTTAAAGTTAATTAAAAACACACAGACAGTCACTCTTTAATATAAGCTTTACTGAAATGGTAGAACAATTTACTAAATAAGCATGGCGCATGTAGTACATAAAAATAAATTTTAATTCAAGATTGCATGAATTCTATCGATATTATTAATCTTAATTGATATTAATCTTTCCAAATATTAACATTTTTAAGCATGTTTTAAACGACTGCATGACTCTTTTAAAATGTAAGTCCTGTAATCAAAATACACATTGTGAGTGTTGGAACAGTGTGGCGCCTGCGGCCAGGTTGGTCACATGAGGACGAACAAAGCGTGTCCGCTATACACCGGCTCGGTTACGGGTGGACCGGCCTCTCCTCCGGACATAGACGTGGAGCCTCCTCCCGTTGAACCAGAAGATGATGATCTTGGATATGTGGATGGAACAAAGCTAACGCTACCAACCAAGATTATTAAGGTAAGGCTTATTTCAAGAGTACCAAGTTGAAATGTGAATTATGTACTCTCAACAACACACACTTTCTACTTATTCTATAATCTACATATTTCACCCACCTCAAATTGGTTGAATAATAAATAATAACCTCTAACTAGGATAGTACAGGACTATGGAACATTCCCGATTCTGCGGACCGAATGGTAAACAGTCGACGTCGCCCTAAACACGTCAATAAGGTCATTAGACGCAGTCCACTGAGTTTCTCGCTGGATCTTCTGAGTGGGTCACGTGTTCGATCCGGTAGTAGATTCTGCGAAGCACTGCCCTTGCTAGGGCCAAAGCTAGCAACACTTCCGGTTTGAGCCCCGTGAGCTCACGTACTCGTCAGGGTGAAGCTGAAATAGCCTCTCAAGGCTATCAGCATAGGTACAAAAAAAAAGTGTACAAGTATTTGGGGGTAAACGATAAAGGTATAATCTTCCACCAAGCGGGTGATATTGCTCAGCAGACCGATGGTCTGAATGTTGTTGTTCGGAACTTGTATAATTGCAAGCTTATCTATACTTCTATATCTATACTAATAGCAGAACCAATCTAGGCAAGCACTCACCTACTCCTCGTCTAACTAACCTTTATAATAATCTAGTCAGAAAAGTTGAAAACCTTGACATATTTGGTTATTCCCTTCCAATATTCAAGAACAAAATTATAAAAAGTTGTTGTTGAACCTCAGCCTCAGCCTTGGTCTGAGTACTCGGGTATTACTGTCCTTGTTTTCTTTCTTTTGTTTTTAATTTTTTATTATTATTAATAGCATTGTTAAATCTCTATTGATATATTAATGTAATGCATGCTGTGATTGCCTCTAATTAGAGTTGCAGTTATCAATTGCTCTATACATGTCAATGTTATTTTATGTCTTACTGTAAACCCTGTCGGTAATCCTTAAATAAATAAATATAAAAATCTACAGTGGTTTTTACGGATGTTCCGTTATAACTACTGAACCATGCATCCGATTGAATTGAAACTTGGTATCCATGTATAAAATACATGTACTTAATGGATAGGCTAATATTTGTATGAGTGTTGGACTCCCTACACTAGTTTCGGGGGCGTTAATGATGAGAATTTTTGTGGGGATAAGAAATAATAATGTTAATTTTAAATGCCCAGCGAAGCGGACGGGTATAGTCTTGTATAATGTCGTAAGCGAGATTCAGGTATCTGTCAATTAACGCCACAAGTTATGTATTCGATTTAATGCGAAGTTTTTCATTCAGCAAACCGCCGAGGAGCTGAAGCGTCGCGGCGGCGGCAGGCGCGGCAGCGAGTTCGGACGCAGCAAACGTCGCGGCGCCACCGCGGACTCGTGCGAGTACTTGGTCCGGCGGCCGGCCGAGAGGCGCCGCACCGATCCGCTGGTCACCCTGTCGTCGTTGCTGGAAGACGTACTCAACCACATGCGGCATTTGCCCGATGTACAGCCCTTCCTGTTTCCTGTCAATCATAAGGTAGGTGTTTAAAACATGTATACAAATTTCAATTTTAGTAAAGCCGAAAATTAGTGCAATGATTATGGCGTTTTCGGATTATCGAATGGTACCTATAAAAAGCCTTTTTTTTCAACCGGGATGAAAACTTCGCTTTTAGTCCCTGGCACGCGGGACAAAAGTACCCGATTTTCTCCCGGTGAGACTGCAAATGTGCGCATGCGCGTACCTTTATTTATTTCCCGGTAACCTAGAAACTGCATTTTTATATCTTTATGATAATGGAAGCTTGATCAAGAATTGGTTAATTTTTTGTCATAACATGCTATTAAAATATAATAAAAAATGGATTTCAATAACTCGAGTGATAGTGATTTAGACGTAGAGGATATTATAAGAAATTTAAGATATTATAAATTCTATTCATAAAAATTTTAATATGTTACTGGGTTCGACGTTCAAATAAAGTAATAGAAATGTTTGATAATGTATGTGGTGATAAATTATTTATAACATCAAATTTTTTATTTTGAAAGTCTTGTAACATGGAAACATATTAGATTAAAATTTTCAATAGTACAGGTGTTTTATGTATCTCCAATATTTTTTTAAAGAACTGCCATTGAGTTTGCAATTAGCTTGAGATCTTAAAACATTGACATTGCTTTTTATTTGCCAAAGCACCACATTTTAGCCCAAATTCCTTCACACATTATACCTAATCTAAGCGGTTGATTCATAATGAAAGTTTGAAATAGTGAATGAACATAGACCGTTTTCTACATTTATTTCTTTACTATTCACAGTTACTCTATGTTGTACGAATAGGGGACGATAGATAGCATTTTCTTCTCTGGTTGGCAATTTGATTTCCATTTATGCTAAGTAGCTTGTGACAAGTTTTAGTGTTATGAATAAAAATGGCGATTTCCTTCGGATCTCACGAGTAGTAGACATGATTAAAACCTCTAACGATTTAATCAGAATGTTCGGTTGTCAGTCAGCTATACGAGAACTATAAAGTTAATTTGTGGTTAATTGTGGGAATAGTAAGTTTTTTTTTTTTTTTATAAAATGGCAACAAGACAGAAAAGAGCAATATTTAGGTGTCTCGGTGATAGTGGTGGCATTTCGTTCATTGGTTATTTATAACTTTACAATATTGTTGTTTTTTTAACAGCTCGTCGCTGATTACTATCGCATAGTTTCCCGGCCGATGGATCTGCAAACTATACGAGATAATCTCCGACAGAAACATTATCAAAGCCGCGAAGAATTCTTGGCCGATGTCAATCAGATCGTCGAGAACAGCACACTTTATAATGGTGAGTTCGACGCGACAACGCACGATGGAGATATGGTATTTGTCTTAGGTTTCCGACAGCCGCCAAATCATCAATGAAAGGGATTCTAAATGAGGCCTGAAAGAAATGTGAAGATAATAACTTTGATTTTGCGTCCATTTTAATTATAATGATTTATTAGAGTGCGCATTTTTACGGGTGTTGATGGTTTCGGACCGTTTAGACATCACAATAGGAATGCCGAAATTATTTTTTTCTATCTCAATGATGGAGCACATTGTATCGCGCGAATCCAGCCAGGCTCTTCAATAACTTGATTTGGATCATCGCATTACACTTTATGGCAATAAGTGGTGATTGTTTTGAATACAAATCCGTGCAAATTTATTGGTATTTCCGGTTTAGAAATTACTCACCTGTTAAATGTTAAAACCTAAAAAAACTAGTGGACCGTTTACTTTGCCACAAAAATACGATATCCATTCTGACATCACTTCTTCGAGGATTCAAGATCTTGATATTTGTAGAATCTATACGAATTTGAAGTCGCCGTGGCCTAAAGGATAAGACGTCCGGTGCATTCGTGTTGAGCGATGCATCAGTGTTCGAATCCCGCAGGCGGGTACCAATTTTTCTAATGAATTACGTACTTATCAAATGTTAAGAAATAATAATAATGAAGGAATAACATCGTGTAATAAAAATCAAACCCGCAAAATTATAATTTGCATAATTGCTGGTGGTAGGACCTCTTGTGAGTCGGTACGGGTAGATACCACCACCCTGCCTATTTCTGCCGTGAAGCAGTAATGCGTTTCGGTTCGAAGGGTGGGGCAGCCGTTGTAACTATACCGAGACCTTAGAACTCAAGGTAGGTGGCGGCATTTACGTTGTAGATGCTCCGGTAACCACTTAACACCAGGTGGCCTGTGAGCTCGTCCACTAATCTATGCAATACTTTTAGGTCCAACAAGCAGTCTCACTGTGGCCGCCCAGAGAATGTTACAGCGCTGCGTTGAGAAATTAGCAGAAAAAGAGGAACAGCTAATGAAACTCGAGAAACAAATTAATCCATTACTTGATGATAACGATCAGGTAATCTTTGCACTGTTATGGCTTCTTAACGAATTAAAAAGTAACAAATAAATAGTTTCAATTATATAGTATAGTTGGACTCATGAAATAAGGAGTTTTTTTTGTCGCCAGGTGGCCTTGTCGTTTATATTCGAGAATCTTCTGACAACGAAACTGAAGATAATGCCCGAATCGTGGCCCTTCTTGAAGCCCGTCAACAAGAAACAAGTTAAAGACTATTACAACGTCATCAAGCAACCTATAGACATGGAAACTATGGGAAAGAAAATTCAAGGTATACATATAGTATGATTTTATCAAAAATTATCGAATCCAAACTAATGTATCGAAATATTAAATACTGATTATAGATAATAGTTTCAAAATCTAAATAAACTTAAATTATGTAAAGAGGTTCTGAGTCCAAACGAATTTATTAGATTTGAATATACCGGTGATGGGTTCGTTTGCGCGGTATTCGATATACGAGTATGAATTACGTGGTAGTAGATTGGGGCAAATAGAGGCTAGAGTTAGAATAGGGACAAATCTGGGATGTCACAATACTTTTGTTGAGTTGTTAGTTTTAACTTTTTTGAACTGAAAATGACTTTTATTTAGTGCTTAAGAAAATTAAATAGTTTAATTTAGAGTTGCCACGAATAGTGATAGCCGAAGCGCCGAATATTCGGCACAAAGTATATGCTAGTTAGTCGAGCGCGTAAAGAATAATACGACAGGTCGGGACCTGTCTCCATCGTGCGCGGGCGGTGTCCGACCATTTGACTGTTTCAGTTGCGAGTAAATCGCGTCACGGCACGTTTGTCAGATCAATATAAATAACAAATAAAATAAAACATTACGATTTTGTAGAAAAGTTTATTTATTTGTAAAGTTTGTAAATAAAAGTTTGTTCGTTAGTTCTTTTTCAATTGTTTGTTCATTAAAAATGACACCAATTAATAAAAAATCTGCCACATGGGAATATTATGAGATTTGTAATGAAAATAATAAACAAAAATCACGACTCAAGTTTTTTGACGAAACTTAATTTGAGACCTGCCCGTCATTTTTCGGTATTCGGTATTCGGCTGAATAGTACCTATTATTCGGCCGAATACCGAATACCAAACAAAGTGGCCGAATAGGCCAAATACCGAATAGTAGCCGAATATTCGTGGCATGTCTAGTTTAATTTAGTCATCAAAGTTTTGTAACTCATTAAAGATTATAAAAAGTTAATTACCTAAAGTTAGGCACATACCTAACAACTAAATAGTGCGATTCCTATCGAAAAACTATTTTTCCCATACGTAACTTGATTCACCCCAAAGCCAAAGTGAATCAGGTCAAGCTAGTTTTTTTTGTATATTTTGTAATGAACTATGTATAAAAAACGCATCGTATATAAAAATGTAAGCTTCCAGATTCATTTTAATCTCAATTTTATTGGTATTTACCCTAAGAAAAACCATTGAATATTTGTGTTGGATTTGGAAAGGGTTCCGATTCCCCCCAATCTACGGTATATGAAGTCTGACAACTGTTTAACACCAGAGAGGTTTGTCCAGTGATACCATAGAGAATCGTGTGTTGATTGCTATGATTACTGGTCGTAGGACCTCTTGTGAGTCCGCGCGGGTAGGTACCTATTTCTGCCGTGAAGCAGTAATGCGTTTCAGTTTGAAGGGTGGGGCAGCCGTTGTAACTATACTTAAGACCTTAGAACTTATACCTCAAGGAGGGTGGCGCATTTACGTTGTTGATGTCTATGGGCTCCAGTAACCACTTAACCAGGTGGGCTGTGAGCTCGTCCACCCGTCTAAGCAATAAAAAAAAAAACTTTTTTCAGCTCACAAATATCACAGCCGTGAAGAATTCCTCCGGGACGTACAACTTTTGGTGGATAATTGTCGGGCTTACAACGGCCCGAACTCTCAGTTCACGAGACAAGCTGAGGCCGTATTGAAGGTCACGCAGGACGCTTTAGGCCAGGTATATTCATGTAGTATTTGTAGCAGAGTCCGCGTCTAAATTATCGTTCGTTTTGTGGTTTTATTACTATTCAACTGTTGAAAGATTGTTCGATGCCTTTTATATTCTGATAATGAAAGGCAAGAGACTGTGGGTAATCATCATTGGATCATCTGGATTTTTGGGGATAGTCAAACATCAAGGCACTGATGAAAAGTAATGAGTGAAAGTAAAAGTAAAAGTAAAATAAAGAGTCAGATTTACCTTATATAACTTGCACCAAACAAAATTAAGTACTGAAATAGTTCTAATTGCATGTATTCGTTACTGTTGGATTTTTATCGATTATTGTATTTATATTTAAATAATATATTTTCTACGTGAAATTATTGTCTAATTGTTGTCAAAGTAAATAATTTTAAACGTTCCACCGCGATCCAATGATTGCGATGTTTTTGCTATAACATGTCCTCCTGTCAGTATTTGAAAATATTTTTTGTTGGTAAAAATAAAATTAAATGTAATTTATTTTTACAGTTCGACGAGCACGTGAGTCAGTTGGAAGCGAACATAGTTAGGGTTCAGCAGAAAATGCTCGAAGACGCCCAGCACTCGGAGCCGGAGGGCGACGACCTCCCCCCCACGGACGAGAAGCGCGGCCGGGGGCGTCCGCGGAAACACAAGCCCTCAACATCAGACGGTTAGTATTACTATATAGTGGGCGTTTTGTCCCATGTCTCAAATTAATCATCTTCATTTCATTTCATTTCAGTTTACTCCGTAATTATTATCATTTTTCATAAAAATAAGAATATAAATTAAAATAAGACGTGACCTTAAAAGTCTTAGTTACCAGGTCCAGGTTAAATCCCTTAAAAAAAGAAAAAAAAAAGATTAAATATTGTTATGTATTAATATTAAATTTGTCCAAAGTATAGTCTTGGCGAAATCTGTGAGTATAGAAATATAATAAATAGTCTTTGACAATAGAATCATTATTAAAATTTCAATTAATTATAGTGGAAATGGAATTTTTTTTTTCAACCATTTCCTGTTAGATATAAAAGCATGTAAAAAATTTAATGAACAATTTTTCTTAAAGAAAAAAAATCGATTTTTCTCTTATGTAAAAAATTGTATTGTTTTATGCCTAGGTGCTACTCCTAGAAAACGAGGCAGACCACGTAAAGATCAGAACAGCTTGGAAGAAGGTATGTAAAGTTAAGATTAAATGATTATTTTAGTATTCTGTTTCTTTAAGCGCTGTAACATTATAGCGTATCAGATAATGTATTTCTTTCGGTTTAAAAAAAATCGAAGACGCGTTAACTAATTATACGTTTTAATGTCTTCATTTTTTGTTTTCGTTGTATTTTTTGCGTAGTCGTCCGTGACTAAAGTAAAGTATTTGAATCTTGGTTTCGGAAATAATAAAACCTATTTAATATAGTACACACTCAAGAGGGTCCAATAATTTATTTAATATTAGATGTTGTCATTGAAATATCGTTAGTTTAAATTTCTTTTGTTATTTTGTTATGTTCAAAGCAAACAGTCTTTATATAGAAAAGTACACATTGATTCGGTTTTGTTTTTACCCCTTTTGGGAATCTCATGTTATGATTATATTCCCTTCCGCTCCTCTGTATTGTGCGAAAGTGTTTGTTCAATTGCTAATTACGTTTTTAGATCTTCAATACTCGGACAGTGGTAGTTCGGAATTGGAAGAGGTGGAACAGAAAGACATCGTTGACACCATTCAACTCTGTGTCAAACCAGGTAAGCTGATTAAAACGCTTTGTAGGTATATATATACTAGCCCTACTCGCCGTACTCGCGTATTATTTATTGTCATTGTTATTAGGGAGTCCAACACTCATATAAATATTAGCCTATTCATTAAGTACATGTATTTTCTACATGGATACCAAGTTTCAAGTCAGTCTGATGCATGGTTCAGTAGTCATAACGGAACATCCGTAAAAACCACTGTAGATTTATATATTAGTATAGATAACTGTTAAGCCACTGTTATAAATGTATTCATCGTATTAAAAAAAAGAAAAAAAGAACGTATTTGTTGCCACTGTTGTTGTCACTTAATAAAACCTGAAAACACTAAAATGACAAACAAAAAAAACAATTCAATTTTTTTTTATTGCCTTTGTAGGTAGACGAGCATACGGCCCACCTGATGGTAAGTGGTCACCGTCACTCATGGACGTCAGCAATGCCAGGGGCAGAGCCAAGCCGCTGCCTACCATAAATAATATAAATCCGCTACCGCTGACTAATATAAATTGTTTTGTAGAAGATACAACGCTGGACGAGCCAAGCATGATATCGGATCCGTCCGATTTCCCGACGACGATCAAACGAGAAGTGACGGACGACCTGCCTCCGCCTTCGGACGACTTCGTGGACCTCGATCAGCCGACTGACTTTACTTTCCCGTCCATCGTAAAGGTAAATATAAATACGGAAACAAACAAACAATATCTACTCACGACACCCTTATCGAGTACATATCGAGGGGTGACAGGCTATTTGGTTTAAGCGACATTTTGCGAAATTACAGGAGAGCCATTTAAAGTTTTAAATTTGAAAAAAAAATCATAACAAAAATACTTCTTAGCTAATTGAATGGAGTAAACGTAATTGAAGTTCAATTAAAAACATCGAATTGTTGATACTAATACCAAATAAAACGGCCTTTAATTACAAAGATAAATTAAGCGAAATCTCTCTTAACCCTTTGACTGCCGTGTAGGGCACCGGTGACCTACACGGCAGTCCAAAGGTTAAGCGTAACCTTTCACTCCTCGATATATTGTGTTCGACCACAAAGCTATCTTTCCGACAAATAAGTGTGATGTCACAATTTTTCATTACCTATGAAACTGAAATAGATTTTTGGAAGTGCTTACCGAACCCTATATACATGAACAACGTGAATACCGCCATTCAATTTTGGACATTATTCCAAAGTCTTACTTCAAATCGGAACGGATTACGGCCTGGCGGCAGAAACTGGCAGCGTGGTGGTAGCTACCCGTGCGGACTCACAATTCTCCCTACCATCAGCGGATGTTTCTGATAGATATAATATATTATCCTATATGCAAGATTAATAAAAAGTTATAATCATTCAATTATAGATCTTGAAGTAACTACAGATCGTGAATATTCGCAGATTGTTCAATATATCATCCAATATATTGCTAGGTTAGGAAATTGTCTCAGGTAAAACCCTTGAGCTCATCTACTCGTCCGCGCTAAGCTGGAATAGCAACCCGTTAGGCTACCAGCGAATAAGTAGGGAAAAAAAGGACTATTACGAACATTTTCTATTCCTGCTCTTAGTACTGCTTCTTGCCGCCATACTTTCTACCAATACTAAGTTTATGGTAACAGTACATTAGGGGTAGCACGGCGTATGTATACCCAGTTATATATCCGTAACAACAGACATCTTTTCTTTCCTATCTAGGCTGATAGCCTTGAGAGGCTATTTCAGCTTCTTCTTGATGTGTAGGTGAGCTCACGGGGCTCAAACCGGGAGTGTTGCTAGCACTGGCCCTAGCAAGAGCGGTGCTTCGCAGAATCTACCACCGGATCGGAAACGCGACCCACTGAGAAGATCTGGCGAGAAACTCAGTGGGCTGTTTCTATGGGTTAATTCACTCGACGAGCCTTTCGTCGCAAGCGACAGGTTCGACGAGGACGGTCATCGGCAATAGATATCATAACGCGAAAGGCGATTTTGAAATTGGCACATGAAATCGAAGTTTTTATTTTATTTGTTTATTGCTTAGGTGGGTGGACGAACTCACAGGCTACTTGATGTTAAATGATTACTAGAGCCCATAGACATCTACAACGTAAATGCCCTCACCTACCTTAAGATATGAGTTCTGAGGTCTCAATGCAATACAGTAGAAGTCTGAATTATCTTATACGACGGTTTCTCTTTCAAACGAAGCGCGGGACTGCTTCATAGCAAAGCTGGGCCGTGCAATCACAAAATACACCTCACCGCCAATAAACATATTTTATTGTCAACAACAGGAAGAGCCGATCGAACCTGACATGAACATGGTTCCCACGATGATAGAGAGTCACATGGAGCCGCCTCAGCAGTTCAAGGAAGAACCGCCAGAGAATTGGCAGGTACGTGACGACAAGACATTTACTTTATCAGTGAATGGGTTTTTTTTCGCCACTTTTGGTACCTCGTAAATTCGTGTTTGTACAAAGTACCTTTATGATATTGAATTAAAACTTTAGTGTTTATAATTTGAAGTTAAATAGGTGAGAGTGCTGTTAGCAATAAATTGCTATATTTGAAAATGGTTGAACGTAAATAAGATGAACGACGTTCATTTGCTTAGTATGAATCCTTTCGTTTAAGAAATATCGAACCCGCAATATAAAGCAAAGTGAGCTCTGTATTTAATTACATTGCGTGCAAAAAAGTTGAATTACAATTGGAACGATTTTTGAAGATTTTACACTACCGGTACAGGAAAAGCTTCATTCAGCTTGTCTTTTTTTATTGCCCTTGTAGCAAGATGAGCAATGCAAGGGACAGAGCTAAGCTGCTGCCTACCGTCGTCTATTCTATATTATACTATTCGATACTTATTCTATTCTTTGTACAAATATATTATAACACTACACTGGCTTAAAAGCTGCCTTGCGTAGAACATATAACACACAGTAAAGATTGGTTTCTGCACACAAAAATAGTGATTCGATCTGGAATTTTAAGGAAACGACTGCTCGACGATTCCATGTAATCATCTCTAATGTCTTTGTATAAAGTAGTCATCTAAAATTTTTTTTTTGTGATCAATATCAAGTTGTGGATAAACAGGCAATATTGAAATCAAATTAAAAATCTTATAATATAATAATATATTATTTTGTCCAGCCCGACCCAGCCATTCAAGATGATCTCCAGGTGACTGATAGCGAGGAAGAAGCAGAAGATGGGTTGTGGTTCTAAGCGGTATAGATATTGGTGATGAGAAAAGATAAACGTTTTCGAGAAATTTCCTCGAAAATCTTCAAACAGTAAATATTTAAATGGAGTTACTAAAAAGGTCACCGATCTTTGTTTCTATATAAGGAAGAACATGATTGATTGATTGATATATTATTTTAAAGTGTATTTTATAAAAATAAGCTATTAAAGAAATAAAAATAATATTTGACATGGACGTTTAATTTATTTAAGCTTAAATAACATTCATTTTTTATAGCTAGTGTTATAATTTTACCACTGAATCGTGAAAATCGCATATCAATCGCATCAGAGACACCAACGTGAAATATGTTTAATTTTTCTTACACAAAAGAGTGCTAATGGCGAATTTAATACGCCAAGGGGTTCGTGATAAAATAATGAATTCGGTTTTAAACAAAGACAGGCTTATTAAAAGTTATCAAAAATAAAACGTACTATCAGATTATTATTTTTAAGGGATTTTATGACCTGGTAACTAACGCCTTTAGGTCAAGTCTTATTTTAATATTATTGAAAACTTTTATATGAAAAATTATATTTTGAAATGTAAATGAGATAAGATTATCTATGGGTTGAAACATAATCTCAGTAAAATGGTGGTCGTTTACTGAGACTTTTTCAGTAGACTTTTTGGAGGATTCCGAAAAGTTACGTTCAGCGGCTTTGTTTCATTTTTCCACATTTGTGCACTTTCACAAATACTAAACAGTTAATAAACCACCGTTATTACACATTTAAATCTGAAGAAACACTAAATAGACAAAATGAAACAAATCACGCAACTTCACTTCCCGCCAAAAACTCCGTACTATCAGAATTTTTTTTTTTAAGAGATTTTATGACCTGGTAACTAAGACCTTTAAGTCATGTCTTATTTTACTTTAAATTCTTAATTTTATGAAAAATGATAATATGGAGTGAAATGAAATGAAGATGATTAATTTGAGACATTAATCAACTGGGATGAAATTTAATGAAACGAAATGATATGGGATGAAATATAATCGCAGTAACATGGTGGTCATTTACTGAGATTTTTTCAGTGGACTTTTTGGAGGAACCCGAGAAGTTACGTCCAGCAGCTTTGTTTCATTTTCCCACATTTGTGCACTTTCACAGATATTAAACGGTTAATAAACCACCATTATTACACATTTAAACCTGAAGAAACACTAAATAGACAAAATAAAACAAATCACACAACTTCACTCCTCGCGNTTACCAGTGATGACTTACGGCTCGGAGACGTGGTGCTTCACTAGGGATCTTTTTAGAAGGCTCAAAGTCGCGCAGCGAGCTATGGAGAGGGCTATGCTCGGCATTTCTCTACGTGATCGAATCCGAAATGAGGAGATCCGTAGAAGAACGAAGGTTGCTGACATAGCCCGTAGAATTAGTGAACTGAAGTGGCAATGGGCCGGCTACATAGCACGAAGAGAGGACGGTCGATAGGGCAGAAAGATCCTGGAGTGGCGACCACGTACTGGCAAGCGCAGTGTGGGACGGCCACCTACTAGATGGACCGACGACCTAGTAAAAAGCGCTGGGTCTCGTTGGATGCAGGTGGCAATGGACCGGTCGCACTGGAAATCTATTGGAGAGGCCTATGTTCAGCAGTGGATGGCGATAGGCTGAAATGATGATGATGATGATCGGTATTAGACTTCGACATGGTGAAGAGTACGTTATATCTCCAAGGGTCGAACAGTACTCACACGCAGGGCCAATTGGGATGTGTGTTGGAAAAAACATAGTAAAAAAAAAAGAATTCTGTTTCATAGTTTAGCTCCTGTCGTCAGAGTGAGATAAGGCATGTACCAATTCTTAAATATTACAAAACTTTGGCACGCTAAAATAAATAATGCAACCGGGTATTCCTCTTTTAGTGACGCCCCAACAAACAAACACGCAAAAAGCGGAGAAAACATTAAAATCGATCACTTCGGATCAGATGGCTTTATAACTCGTATTTTTGTTAAATTAATAAAGAGCACATTATGAGTATAATATACAAGCGGCCCGCTCCGGCTCCGATCGGGTCTTTAACAAAAATTTCAACGATATTTGACGCTGTTTTATTTTTTTAAATAAAAGAACACTTATTGCGGCATAACTACAGTATTTAGACATATTATGCCGTCGCGACACTTTTTGTAAATAATAATGTGTTCTACAAAGTCGTAGTACATTATTTTATTCTATCATCAATAGTTTTCGCAGGGCACGCGATGTAAAGAATATTTTAGGTATTTTTTTTACACCTTGGGTTACATTATTGGAGTTTTAATAACGATCCCTAATAGTTTTCAAAATATATTATATATTTCAAAATATAGCCTATGTCACATGGGAATAGTGTAGGTTCCAAACAGTGAATTTTTTAAATCGGTTCAATAGTTTCGGAGCCTATTCAATACAAACAAACAAACAAATTATTCCTCTTTATAATATTAGTATTAGGTGTCCATGTATCCGCTAGAAACAATTTCGAACTCTAGAATAGTTCTACGAAAACAAACCTACCCTTATACACGCGGGGTATCAAAAACAACCCCGACGAAAGCGCACGTCTGACATTAATTGACACTTGGAGTGCTTCCCTCCTGAGGGTAAGGGACGAGAATGCCTTTTCGCACACACTTGTCGGGTATACGGTGAAAATTTTACATATTATTAACGATTCCACTTCAAAGCTACTCAGAGGAGCTTATGAAAGTTGACAGCTTGCTATTGTTTACATTCGATAATTGATTTAATTAGATTGACATATTGCAGGCGAGTACTTAGACCGCCTACTGAGTTTCACGCCAGATCTTCTCAGCGGGTCGCGATTCCGATCCGGTGGTAGATTCTGCGAGCACTGCTCTAGCTAGAGCTCCTCCTCGCGTCGTTTACCTCATTACTGAGGGTCGAGACTCCCCCGCTGCATCAGTTTCTCCCGTACGATTTCCCTCCATCTGCTGCGATAATTTGTTTCATGAAGGGCATTGTGGAAATTGATGCTTAGAGAAGATCGTATTTGGTCCGACCATCTCGTGGGACTGCGCCCTCTGGGACGTTTGCCATCTACCTAGCTAGGGCTAGTGTTAGCAAATATCTCAGGTTGAGCAAGTGAGCTAACCTACCAGTCTGGGGGCAGCTGGCATAGCTTCGTAGGCTATCAACGAATATAGGCAGGGGAAAACCTCAGAGAGCTGCAAACGTTAATGCACCATCTTGAGTCGTGAGGTCGAAGAAGCTGTGATTGCCGTTGATCTATCTCTAATCTAGAATTAGATTACTTACCGCAGTACGGTGGAATCATCGTACTAAGTCATCGTAGAAGTCGTCGTGGCCTAAAGGATAAGACGTCCGGTGCATTCGTGTTGAAGCGATGCACCGGTGTTCGAATCCCGCAGGCGGGTACCAATTTTTTTAATGAAATACGTACTCATCAAAGTTTTGTTTTGCTTGAAATAATGGAGCGTGAGTTGTTTCTCAATAAAAAAAATATTAATTCACCTATAAAACTAGGTTTATTAGTTTGTTTTCAATAATTCAAGGACTAGTTTCAGTGAGGAATTTCTCAACCCGTATCTTTTTGTATCACGCATCTTAATGTATCCAATTATAAGTTTTTATTCCGGCAGATGGGTTGTGACCTCGCTCTGTGTAGTCTTCAATTTTTCAATTATAAACAGGAGGTCCATTCCAGTTAACAGCCTCAAAGAGATACTTCCAAAATATACGTAATAAAACCAAAGACGGATAACAATATTGGTCTTTGTGCTTATGGTTTTAAGGGGGAAAATTGCTTGTCACAAAACGGAATCATGTTTTGTAGAAACTTGTATGTTTTTCGGATTTTCTATACTACAGTGCGATGCGATGAGATGTCTGTGCTACAAATGATATCAATATTTATATTCTTTACGAGTATTGCCTTGAATCAACCATATTAATAACATAATCAGCAGTGTATGCATCTGAGTAGCATTTCATTTATAATTCCTAACGCCACTAATAGCTCGTGAGCATTTGTGAGTATATCTCAAACCATCTAGTAAGTGTAAAGCACCATTAATTTATTGAATTAGAATCAATCGTTTCTTAGTATTTATTATTATTTGTAATGTATAAAAATATAAAGTTTCTGTCGTTT